TGAGAAGTGCTTGCCCACTCCAGAACCACTGATTTCAGGAGGGGTGTTGGAAGACCTGAGTCAGATTGAGGTGATGAGAGAGGAGGTCCTAAAACTGATAGACAACTTAAAAACTGAAAAATCACCAGGCCCAGATGGCATACATCCGAGAGTTCTGAAAGAACTCAAATGTGAACTTGTAGATCTCCTGACAAAGATATGTAATCTTTCCTTAAAATCTGCCTCCATTCCTGAGGATTGGAAGGTAGCTAATGTCACTCCCATCTTTAAAAAGGGTTCCAGAGGAGATCCGGGAAATTACAGGCCAGTCAGTCTGACGTCGATACCGGGTAAATTGGTGGAAACCATTATTAAGGAAAGAATTAGTAGGCACATAGATGAACAAAACCTATTGAGGCAGACTCAGCACGGTTTCTGTAAGGGAAGATCTTGTCTCACTAACCTGTTAGTGTTCTTTGAGGGGGTGAACAAACATGTGGACAAGGGGGATCCAATAGATATTATTTACCTTGACTTCCAGAAAGCTTTTGATAAAGTTCCTCATCAAAGGCTCCTAAGTAAGCTCAAAAATCATGGGATAGAAGGACAAGTCCTTTTATGGATCAAAAACTGGCTAGTTCATAGAAAACAGAGAGTGAGTGTAGGTGGGCAATTTTCTCAGTGGAGGGTGGTAAGCAGTGGGGTACCGCAGGGATCAGTACTTGGTCCACTGCTTTTTAACTTGTTCATTAATGATTTGGAGATGGGAGTAAGCAGTGAAGTGGCTAAATTTGCGGATGATACAAAGTTGTTCAGGGTGGTGAAAACCAGTGAGGATTGTGAGGCACTCCAAGGGGATCTGTCAAGGATGGGCGAGTGGGCGTCAACATGGCAAATGGGGTTCAATGTGGCCAAGTGCAAGGTGATGCACATTGGAGCCAAAAATCCTAAATATAAATACACATTGATGGGGTCTGAACTGGCAGAGACTGATCAGGAGAGAGATCTTGGAGTTGTAGTGGATAACTCACTGAAAATGTCGAGACAGTGTGTGACTGCAATAAAGAAGGCCAATGCTATGCTGGGGATTATTAGGAAGGGTATTGAAAACAGATCAGCCAATATCATAATGCCCCTATATAAATCAATGGTGAGACCTCATTTGGAATACTGTGTGCAGTTCTGGTCACCACACCTTAAAAAGGATATTATAGCTTTGGAAAAAGTGCAGAAAAGGGCAACTCGAATGATAAAAGGGTTGGAACACTTTCCCTATGAGGAAAGGTTAAAGCGCTTAGGGCTCTTTAACTTGGAGAAACGACGACTGAGGGGTGACATGATCGAGGTTTATAAGATTATGCATGGGAAAGAGCATGTAGAGAAAGAGGTACTTTTCTCCCTTTCTCACAATACAAGAACTCATGGGCACTCCATGAAACTGCAGAGCGGTCGGGTTAGAACGGATAAAAGGAAGTCCTTCTTCACCCAAAGAGTGATTAACACATGTAATTCACTGCCACAGGAAGTGGTGGCGGCTACAAGCATGGACGGCTTCAAAAGGGAATTAGATAAGCATATGGAGCAGAGGTCCATCAGTGGATATTAGCCACAAGGTATAGATAGGGGCTCTGGGGCAAGTGATGCTCTGTCTTCTTGGTGCTTGGGGGGGGGTCAACAGTGGGAGGGCTCCTAGTGTCCTGGCCCCACTGCTGGACCTCCTGATGGCCCTGGTATTTCTGGCCACTGTGTGACACAGAGTGTTGGACTGGATGGGCCTTTGGCCTGATCCAACATTGGCGTCTCTTATGTTCTTATGTTAAATAGATGACCATGTTGCTGCTTTGCAGACCTCCTCTATAGACGTTTGGTTGTAGAAGGCTGCATTGGTGGATGCGCTGTGTAGTGAGTGTGTTGTAACCCCCTTAGGGGTCTCCAAGCCTTATAAGCCTCCACTATACAAGATCTAAGTACTGAGCTGATGCTCCTGCCTTGGGAGGCGAGATATTTATGAACATACAGTTTATTTTTCTGATAGGTTCAGACCTCACAATATAAGAAGAAGAAGAGATTGGATTTATACCCCGCCCTTCACTACCCAAGGGAATCTCAGAGCGGCTTACAAACTCCTTTTCCCTTCCTCTCTCCACAACAGACACCCTGTGAGGTAGGTGGGGCTGAGAGAGCTCTGACAGAAACTGCTCTTTTTCAAGAACAGCTGTGCCAGAGCTATGGCTTTCCCAAGGTCATCCAGCCAGGTCAAGTGGAGGAGTGGGAATCAAACCCGGTTCTCCCAGATTAGAGTCCGCACACTTAACCACTACACCAAACTGGCTCTTGAGAGCCCTTCTAACATCTAAGGTATGCCACACAAACTCCTTAGGATGCTTGGGTTGTGGACAGAAGGTTGGAAGGTAAATTTCTTGTGTCCAGTGGAAAACAGAAGAGACCTTTGGCTAAAAGGTTAGAATACATCTGAAAAATACAGAGGTTAGACTTCACTGACAGCAAGCCAAGCTCTGAAACCCTTGCAGATGTCACCACCACCAAGAAGAGAGTCTTCATATGTAGCCATCACAGAGCAACCTCCCTCAGAGTTTCAAACAGAGGTTTAGTGGGGCCAACAAAACTGTATGAAGCCTCCATGTAGGAAAGCAATGAACCTGGGGTGGAGCCTTGAGCATCAAACCTTGCAAGAATAACTGGCCTAAAATGGATAGTATGGTAGAAAGTGCAGCCATCTATCTACGCAGAGTGGATGATTTCAAACCCAAGAGCAGCCCATCCTGTAAGGACAGGACAGAAGCCACCGAAGGGGTAGAGGATCAACCTTCTTCCTCTTGCACCACCTGACAAAGGCTTTCCAGATTTCTAAAAATCTGTTTCTGATTTTATGTGAATTACTGTTCCCATTAGATGGTCCTATGCTGGCTGTTCTGTCATTCTGATCTGTTCATTTATTGAAACTAATGGGCACAATCCTTCCAGCATAAGCACAGCACCTGTGTACAGGTGGATCTACATCAGATTCAACAGAGCCACATTCTCTCCTTCTTTTCTTAAACATGCATAGACTTGTACATGAGAACAGTCCAGGAACCTATGCAATTCCCACATTCCTGTCCAGCTTTCTTCTTACATTTGATCAAGTTACTTGATCTACAGAGTGGGACAGGAATCATATCCTACTGCTACACCCTGAGAAGGCTTTTGTGCCAACTGAGTGTACCTAAGTCTTGATGGAACACACTGCCCACAACAGATGTGGTGGTAGAATACAATCCAATGCTGTTCACATACATGATAAGACAGTTCTGCTATCTTATGTGAGTTATATTTTAAACAAGGGGGACCCGCGATACTCGCAGGGGGGGAGAAGCTCTGCGGGAGAAGGAAGCAGCCGCAGGTAAACCTTCTCCCCTGTCCCCCCCATCCCCGGCACCCCGATGAGGCCTGACCTCGGCCCGCCAAGCTTCCCCCTCCCCTAGCGGCAACTGCAGCAGCTCGCTGGCCCGCCAAACTCCCCCCCCCCCAGCATCTCTGTTCC